GGGATATGACACCTCAGCTCGAAAGCGGTATAGCATGTTCCCCCCCACCTCACAGTGCCCACACAATGCCAGTTTGTTCCATTGTGTGCGCACTGCATGATGTCATGTCACTAATAACACTCCTGCCCATGGTTCCTCTCCCAAATTTATTCCCTCCATATTACTTGAACTCACCAACAGACTCCGCAGCATGGCCAGATGGCGTGCTTCACACATTCCATGCCAACAATAGCATAGAAATTCTGTCCACTCCTCATCCTGAACCTGCATCTGTTGCATCAGGCAGACGACTGTCTCAAATCGTGCATACAGTTCACTGCCCATTACTTCCTCAGCCATATTGCTTTCCCTGCTGATTGGCCAATAAAGTGGTGTGCCTCCTCCCTGTCCTACTGGTTTAAATTGATGGAAATCCCCACAGATGATGATGCTCATCCCTCCCCATGCCTTCATTGACTCCTCCTCCAGGTAATTGTGCTGTCAAATCAGCCCTAGGATCATCGACATTCATGCAAACAGCTTTCTTGAGACCATCGAGTACTCATCAATGATCAAGTACTCCTTCCACCAGAAACGAGCCAGCTCTTCAATCTTTCTCCCACTCAGTAGCCTTGCTCCACATGCTCCCAATCCGAAAAGGACATGTAGCGTTTTGCCACCAATTAGACTGGCCACTATCCCCATGTAAGCCCCCAGTGCAATCTTGTCTGCTGCATTGTGTGTTCTAAAAAAGTCCATAACTGAGTGTATCACTCTTGACTTCCCTGTGCCCCCTTCTCCCATTAGGATCATTTTCAATGGTTCTGGTTCTTCCCCACATTGCCTTGCTGCCAAATGGTGTGTGATGATACTGTATGCCCACAGCTGATCCGGGTGGAAACTGGACACATCGATAGTATCCAAGAATCCATCTGACCCTCCTAAATACTCAATGGTGCATGCCATTGCTTCTTCCCTTGCATGTTCACTGATTGCCATCATTTCTTCCATCATGGTTACTGTTGCTGCATCCTCTGATGTTGACAAATTTTTCCTCTCCTCCACTAGCTTTTGTGACCACCTCACAAACTCGTACATGTCCTCTCCTGTGGCTGCCCACACACCTCTTTGCGTTATGTTCCACCCGTTTGCACTGTCCAGCAAGATTCGTGCACGCTTCGCTATTTCGATTGCATGCCACCCATGCAGCACCTCTTCCGTCTGTTGGCTCTGCGCTATGAACCACTCCAGGTCAGCTTCTGAGCCTCCTCCTACTGCATGCTCTTGCTGCTGCCCATCCTCTCTGTCGCTGGATGCATCTGACTCGGTCTCGCCAGAGGTTGCAGGAAAACCTCTTCCATTCAAATCAACCTCGGTAGGATTGTCCTTATCCACTGCATCCTTACACTCATATCTATGCTGAAGGTTGGACACTGCATATGTGACGTTTGAATCCACCTCCTCCAAACAATTGTATGCTTCACTCCATTCTTCATCCCCTCCTTTCAAATCTTCTTTGCAGCGCCAAGGTTTCCATAATGCCAGGATGCTTGCGTAGTGCATGTTGTTCTCCTCGTCTGCCATTCATCTTGTGTCAGGGCACACCCACCTGACCCCACGCCGCGCCCCGTGCTGTACTGCCCTACTCTGTGACCCCCGCTATCAGCCCCATCCCTCCTTCCTCACTTTTCCCCTTTTCTCTCTATTTCTATTCTACAGTCAATTTCCCTTTTCTCCATGTACCACTACACACCTAACCCCATTTCCCTGATCGCCGCATGTGCTGCGCACACTCCTGCCTACTGAGCAGCTGCCTCCGGGATCTCCTGTGGAGACACCCGGGGAGGTGCGGCTGTGTGCGGAGATGACGTGGCCTCCTCCACGTGACCCTGACCACATGTATATAATAGCGCCTGGGGTGGGAACAGAAGAAGCAGCCTTCTTCTCAACTTCCCACTTCAGCCTAAGTGGTCGGGGATGCTCACCCCGCGACGGGATCGCCACTATGCGCAGCCGCTATCCGTCCCACCGAGTCCCGCGCGCAGGGACCTCGCCGCTTTCGGAGCTGTCCCTGACATCTTGCCAGCCAAGGTCCAATGATGTCCACAATTGTGTTGTGGCCTTCTGTCACGGCCATGCATTCCGGCCCGTTAGCTGCCCGTCCCGATGCTGCCCAAGCCCATTCCCGCTACGCGAGCGTGAGCGCGAGCCCCGACCTCAGCTCTATCCTCCCTGAGGACTCCCTGCTCACTCCCCTGCTTGCCCCTAGGCTCCCCCACTGCTGCACCAACCTCCCCACCCTGAGTCCACCTCCGGCACCGTGCCCAGTGCGACTCCCCTACCCTGCCCACTTGGCCCCTACAGGGCCGCTATCATCCCCGCGCCCAACTCTGGCCCAACTCCGAGTCCAGTGCCACTACGATACCATCGCCGCTATCATGGCCCTACGCTCTTTCCTTCATTTATCTGTTATTGTTTGTTTTGACCCTTGGTCATTGCCGGCCACTATGCGGCCAACCCTGCTCCTTATTCTTGTTTGCTTCCGGACCCTTCGGCCTCCGGCCCGGGTCCGCTTCCATTCATTTCTTCCTCCTATATATATCCTGTATGATACTTTATTGTACCTTAGCTCTAATATCGATGTGACCATGACCCCTAAGTCCTGACCCCAACAAGGCAACCCCAGTAAGTCTGAAATGAGGGCCAAGAGACAGCTAGGGGGCACAGCACTCCCTTTAGAGTTGCTGAGGCCAAATGCCCCACCCTCGGGCCTTGTCTGTGTTAGACACTGGTCCGGGGTCGGCACCAATGGTCGCCGTTAGCGGGCCGCTATAGGCTGCGATGGCCATGATGCTGTGACAAGGCCCGAGGGTAGGGCATTTGGCCTCAGCGACTCTAAAGGAGCGCTGTGCCCCCTAGTTGTCTCTTGGCCCTCATTTCGGACTCACTGGGGTTGTCTTGCTGGGGTCAGGACTTAGGGGTCGTGGTCACATCGATATTAGAGCTAAGGTACAATAAAGTATCATACAGGATATATATAGGAAGAAGAAATGAATGGAAGCGGGCCCGGGCCGGAGGCCGAAGGGTCCGGAAGCAAACAAGAAGAAGGAGCGGGGTTGGCCGCATAGCGGCCGGCAATGACCGAGGGTCAAAACAAACAATAACAGATAAATAAAGGAAAGAGCGTAGGGCCACGATAGCGGCGATGGTATCATAGCGGCGCTGGACTCGGAGTTGGGCTGGAGTCGGGCATGGGGATGATAGCAGCCCTGTAGGGGCCAAGTGGGCGGGGTAGGGGAGTCGCGCTGGGCACGGTGCCGGAGGCGGACTCAGGGTGGGTGGCTGTGGGGGAGTCGGCCAGGTGCAGGGGAGCCTAGGGGCAAGCGGGGGAGTGAGCAGGGAGTCCTCAGGGAGGATAGGGCTGAGGTCGGGGCTCGCACTCACACTCGCATAGCGGTAACGGGCTCAGGCGGCATCGGGATGGGCGGCTAACGGGCCGGAATGCATGGCCGTGACAGTCTGAGACATTGTGGCCATCACGGCCAATAGCGGCCCGCATCGGCGACCTTCGGTGCCGACTCCGGATCAGTGTCTAACACCTTCTGTCCATATTACATGCTGTTGAGTAGCCAAGAATGGATGTTCATCAGAGTATTTGCTCCGTTCGTTCTTCCACCTTCCATGCCCTTTCCATGCTAATGCAGTCATCGCTGATTGCTACCTGGAACAGTTTAACGAGAAAGAAACGAATCTCGAAAAAGGGGCTTTCAAGTTGATTGGCATCAGTCATATCTGTTCCGGAGAACCACCACATTCAGATGTGTTGATGCTGGGATCCTCACCGTCCAAAAAGAAATTCTGTAAGTTGCTAATGATATTGGCTTGTACTAATTACTAAGGAAGCTTTTACACGTTAAAGGAATGGCTGTGATGTATGGCTCCAGTTTCTTTTTTGCCGACTTGCCGTCTTTCTTCCCATTCTTTGTATGCAAAAAGTCTTAGATATTTGCAATACATTCCTCGAAGTCGTGCTGTGCAGGTTTAGCGAAGCAAGGCGAGCATTCTAGTAATATTATGGCTGAAAAATTATGGCGTATATAAGTTTTGATGATAAAATCCTCATGCAGGATTTTAGATAACCTGGGACCCTAATCCTGTCACGGAAAATCTTACCCCTTGCCAAGATTTTCCACGAAATCCTCACATCTGCATGATTTTGTCATGGAATCTTTTCCCTCAGTGTGATGTTGGGTTTATTGTACTTAGGTGTCATCTTTCGCTCGCTAGTTTAACGACGTTGCGGTCGGGCCATACTACATTTTGCCCCAGTCTGAGGAGCGAAGTAAATCCTCGCTTTTCATGGTACTCTGAAGATCAATCCATGTAAGCATGCCTCCTGCATCGTGACAAGCTCAGCCTTTCTGTTATAGACTCCCCATTGGCGTCGCACGTACCCTTCCAAAGCTCAGGACCTTCTGCAACCCAAGTTAGCGTCTAATGCTGCCCCACCACTGACAGTACATCGGTCAAGTCATCTCCTTCAATCCCCACTGTGCTCTCGCCTTGTACCACCTCACTTATCCTGACTGCGTCTGGGAGCGGGGACTCTACACCCCTGACTGTTGAAGTATCAGGTGGCCAGCCTCAGGATGAATCCATGATAGATGCAACTCAAGAGGGTCAGATGAAAACGAAATCACTGGGGCTTCCTTTGCACGCCCTGACTCCGAGCGATATTCCTCAATCAAGTACTTGGACTCCATTTGTGTCTGCAAGCCCCGAATGCGCACACTATGTACCAACCACAGATACAGATTCCTTGCAGAAGGGAGTCGCGAAATTTCTCTCAACCGCTGCGGGCATTCCATCGAATCCCACCTCACTCCAAGACTCACTGATCCCTTCAATAGCTGTGATCAAGGATTTGCACCTTCCCCTCTTCTGATGCAGTGCCCTCCCAGTCATCTGATTTAGGCGTCATCTGCATCCCTGGAGTGGGTCCACTCACCTCTGCGAAGTTAACTGCTGGGATGGGACCGTCGGTAGAGCCATCGTCCGACTTGGCTCATCCCTGTGAACCAAGTCAAGAGCATCCTACCCAAGCCGTAACATCTACTGTGCCCGGGGAGAACAGTGACACTATAGCGCACGCAGACGTCATCATTGGAGTCAAATGCAAGTAATGTGCGACCACCAATAGAAATGCCACCCATCACACCAGAATTCCAAGATCCTTCAGCTGAGGATCAGTCGAATTCTGTCGTTCGTGGTGAATCAATCCCACACGGGAAGGACGTAGCAATTACTGAGGCTGACAACCAATCCCTCCTGAAGGTGACGGAGCGTTCTGAAGCTGGGGTACAGACGATCGAAAAAACTGTCTCCCATCTATCCGTTCAGACGGCCGCGAGTGCACGATTTACAGGGGATGCTTGTATTCAAACGGAGCCTGGGCCAATCAAGGAGAATCCCATCGATGTCGCCGCGCTAATGGAAGAACTCCGCCAAGTTAAATCGGATCATGAAGCAGCATTGGGCCAACTAAGAAGAACTCACTTGAACGAGCTAGCAGAGAGGGATGAGGAACTTCGACAGCTCAAGATACAGAAAGGATGCGGAGCTTGAACATCAGAGACTCAGCGATGAAGAGAAACTTGCAGTGGTCACAATGGAGCTCGAACAACTTCGACCTGCTTTGAAAGGGAAAGATGACGAACTTGGACAACAACGACAGGAGCACGCAGAACGAATTGCGAAGCTTGAGGAGGAGATCGAAACGCGGAAGATCGAAGCTTTGGCAGCCCAATTCCCTACTGCGTCAAAGTTGCTCATCACTGCTTATATTCGTCTGGAGTGTCTTGGGAAGCGCAAGCGTGAGGACTTGGATGGTGGCAAAGTGGTTCGGCTGAAGGATCGACCAACTCTTTAACTATATGTTCGTACATTAGTCGCATACTATTTATTCTTTATTTCCTACAGTATGGGGTATAATTCTTATCCCACAATCGATCAAGCACGTATTCCCGTCACATTATCAGTGCCACTCATCCGACTATCCTACCGTACTCGTCTTGGTCCCGTTCAGCGTGGGTAAATCATTCCACCATTGTCCCACCTCCAGCATTTACACGAGCCTGAAACGCGTCACTTCGCTCAACCCTCCTCCATGCACCAACCTCCCTTCCCAAATCAACCAACATCTTCCAAATAGCATTACCCACATCTCCGCCCTCCTTCCCGCATCCAATCTCAAGTTCCTTCCGAGCACGCGTGAGGACTTGAACGGCTAGATGAATCCTGTCTATACCCCTAGGTATCCGTGACCAGCTATCACCCGACCCAAATTCAGAACTGTCCTCAACTTGGTCTTCGCTTCCAGACGAGCTCGAAGGTGGCATATCAGGAGAGACATCCACACAAAGCAATTTCCCCAACTCAGCAAGCGCCACACCCCTAACAGGATGTCCGAGCGCAAACACCCTGTCATCACAAACGCCGCTGACAACACAAGCAGCCGCACGACACGTTTCATCTACTTTTGTATCACGAGATGCCTGTTCTTTCAAAGATTTGGGTTCTGGGAGAGATGCAAGCTCGTGGATTAGCAAAGCTACGTGAAGTCGAGAGAGTTCTAGGAGGGGGTGCGAAGACTTGTGGAGTGGGTATGGTGCGAGGGCAGCTTGGGAACTTGCAGTGTACCTGATAGCTTTCGGAGGGTCTTGTGTGATCGAAGATAGCCTCGTCAACAAGATGGCTATCTAATGAGGGGATGGCGTACCTGAGAACTCGAATCTTCTCGCTTTCTGGAGAGCTTCGTGTGAGACGTCCAGAGCGTCATAAAACTTGGTTGAGTCGACGACAAGACTGGTTCCACACGCTCCGCACGAAACGACACCCTTCAATAACCGACTCTCACTCCCTGTAAAAGCCCGAACGTAAAACAAAGCATCATTCACCAGGACAATATGACTTACCATAAGCAAACCCTGTGAGTGTGTTGCATCGGGAACAATGCAAGCTTTCCCTTGGATCCGGGGGACTCGAATCGCTCAAGTACCCGACGCACGCTTCACAGGTGCAATCGAACAAGTAACCTTCTTTCAATTCACGTAATCTTACGGGTGTAGGTTGCGAAATGTCAATGTAAGAGGCAAGAATCTGCGAGCGACAATGATGGCGAAATTAGATTCTGAGATGATCAGCGGCAGGGATCTTGTGCGAACCTGTTCCCCAGGAGCAATAGGTCGAAGGGCGATGACCTCGGCCTTCTTAACTGCGTTTGATCTCGATTCCGTCGGAAATACAATAACGGCGTTCGGCCGGCACGAATGATTGATCAACGCAATGAGTGGCGATACGAATACTCCGATCGGAGAAAGCGTCGGCGTTGTCAGCGTCACGGAATTCGTTGTGAACTGCCGTATTGATCACGTAGCAGGTGCGTGTAAATTTTTTTCAATGACCAAAAGTACGGAAAGGCGGAATACAGGAAACGGCGCACCTTTGACAAGATGTCCACAAAATCGCGAGGAGAATCAATTCCGAAGCGCCTCAGGGTCCCACTTGAGCCAAATGCCTCTTCTTCATCAGTGCCGAGGTAGACAGCCAGTGCATGACCAAAATTTGTGAGGGTCTTATGAGCTGGAGAAGTCGGCGAAAATTTGGTCCGATCTACCAAATCATCGACGTAAGGATTTTCTTCCAAGAGAACACAGCTTTGGACGCACTTGATTGCATTTGAAACACTTCTTGAGACTTCACATTGAGTCAGTATCATCGATAGAGATGGAGCGTGGAGCACGCACCCATGCGCTCAATAACCCTGCTTTCCCCATCAGCCAAAGTAACCTGGCCAGTCCCCGTACAGCGTCGTTGGGCAAAGGCAAAGAGTCCAGGCGCTCTTCATCCGCGGAGTCATTTGCCGAGGCTCTCCACCTCCGGATGGCTTGACATTCTTCTTTGTGGAGTTTCCAATCATTTTTTTGACAAAACTAGAAGAAGTACCAAAAAAAAACAACGCCATGATGACATGCGATCTGAGTAATCTAGTAATTGAATTTAGTGGAAAATGTGTATTGACGCACTGCACTATCGTACCAAATGACTTTACAGTCGCTACACCGTTTGAGTTTGCTCGGATCTGACTCATTGCTGCAGTATGTGCAACAAGCTGATAGATAATTCGTCGAAATGGAATGAACATGCGGAGCCGCCGAGAATAGCACGGATCCTACATGAATCCGTCAGTGGCGTCATTGTAATGTTCTCCGCGTCGCATGTAATCTTCGACTCACCTGGGGCGTAACCTATCGCTGCATTTCTGGACACGTACAGACCCCTTCCAACGTTCTTGTCTGCACGTATCTCTACGTTGGGTGGAAGATCTTTGAACATCCCAGGATTGATCTTCACCAGATTGGCTTCGTTGAGCTTGACGTCCTGAGTTGGTGACAGCGCCCCCGACGATTGCACATCCACCGCCGAGGACGCCTGCTGGGGTTCATCGGACCATCCGGGTGATCCATGGGCAGGACGAGAAGGACTGGGCTTCAGTCGTTGCTGTCGAGCCCTCTGTAAATCTGAGAAACTCATGAGGCGTCAAAGACGAATTCTTTCCTCTCTCTCAAGCCAAAATTCCCACGGGGTGATGTTTAAGATCGAACGATATTCCCACGCCTTAGCACCTAAATAAAGCTACAATGGACTTAGGCAGGCTACCCTCTATCAGAATAACTTGACGGAAACTGCACTACAATGGGTGAGAGAAAAGGGTCTGGGATCATGGCTGTGAAAGGTTTCGGTCATCAAGTTTTAAGAGATGGGCCAGTTGTGAGGAACAAGCTGGACCCATTCCTTGTTCATGCATGGTCTGGCTCGTAATCATGATGTTACAGCCTCATGCATGATGTCGCCAAAGGGCTGGATCGGAAAGCTTGCTCCGGCATTCATTGTGCTTCCTGCCACTGAAACCTCCGTGTACGGTTGGACTGACCAAGAGTGGATAACGTACCCTATCGTACCGTGTCTGGTTCCCTGCTGCTTCTTTGAGTCTTCTGGGGGTTGACGCTTCCAGACGACCAAGTATGTGTTCAAAATTGACCTTCTTCTACATAATAGACTCAGAGCTCCATGGAAGAAACCTGTTTCTTCCCGGACACCATCAGAACGCGTCCAAGTGGCAGGAGAACCAAGAGGCATATTAAAATTTTCAACTTTGCGTTGTTCCTGCATCCATCCATTATATCGCGGAACACAGAGCAGAATTACCCTTTGGTTCTTCTCTGGCTTTGAATCTGTTGAGGAAGAAAGGTCTTGGGTACGTTCTGTGACGTAAATGCTAGCTAAGGAAACGAAGCTTACACAAAAGAAGGTTTCTTGGCAGAATGCTCACCAACTAGGCAGGACTCCAGCCTCTCTATGACTTCGTAATAATCACACCAACGTCCGATAGATGATTCATCAGGGTCCTTTTTGATTTGATGATTGCACGTTTTCATTTGACGCTGGAACGTGGCATGAGCTACCTATACCCACACACGCTCACACCTCATGCGCACACCCGATTTCTGAATTTCCAATATCATCAGGCCGAACGGCATTCCATGATCATATGCGAGGAATTATCGGGGATGTATGTATACAATTCGGCCGTTACATGTAAGTTTCTCATATGTAAGGATTGGAATATACATAAAGCAGCGGCGTGCACGCATTGCCATGTGTGAATTTGAGCTTTCGGGCATGAGAAGTCCGTCGTTGATCGATCGCCTTGCCGCCCTTCCGAAAGACGGGCGACAATTCATTCTTCCTACATGCCTGCAAGAACACCCTCTGTTTCGGTTTGGCCCGTTTTATATATCATCCAAAAGCCATTCGCACCCTCGGCCGATGCCAACAAGTAAACGTCCAAATCTCATATTGTGACATGAAGGTCGTAATGAAGTGGGAAAGGGATAAAACAGCACATGGAACGAGATGGTACTAAGAACAGATAAGGGGGGCCATTAAACTAGGCAGGCTGAACGGGCGATACTACAAAACTGACGCTCGGGAAGCAACATGAAGGCGAAAAGCAATTGCACGCCAAAGACATCCCAGACTGAGAAAGAAAAATAGGAAGATGATACAGATTCGTCAACTAAGTAAGCAAGCTATCGTAGTTCTCCCATGGATATACAATGCCACGCCACCTGGTGGTGCTGATGCTGGCGTAAAACCCGGCTCCAAGCAGAAAAAAAAAAAGCCCAAAAGACGTGAACCCAACCGAGCGGACTTCACAGTGCACGCGGGAAGAGGGACAAAGAAGAAAGAAGAAAAAGCTCCCAGTCCGATTACTCGTACTTCATGCACTCATTCACATATCGACACCACCTTTCGATAACGGGTACGATGGTTCCTTCCCACGATTGGTCACCTAATTCTGGGGTTTCTTCAAAAATGTACATGTTGCAATGTGTTTTCTGGCCTGAAACCGAGAAGATAAATGATCAATAGAACTCCCGCCATGTGGATTTACAATCCATTGTGAGAATGAGACACACAAAGAAGGGTTGTCTCAAAAAGCACAAGGAAAAAAAAAGAGAACTTACAATCTGTACATTCCTTCGACAGGGTCTCCAAAGGCGACAACTCAATTTGGATCAATCCTGTCCATCAAGCACCAAGTGATGAAAAGCACAAACCATCAACAAAAAGCATCGAATATGCAACAAGAAATAAGTAACAAAACAACAACAAAACTCACTGGCAAGTTTTGCTGAAAATCGGCACTTTTCAGACTTGGTGATATCCTCCTTAAGCGTAAGACCATCCATTCGATCAGCATCTAACACTAATCCACCAGGCCAACATCCTCTAAGTGTAACCTTCTTCGAACGATGTGTCTTTTGCCAATTTACAACAATATTGGTATACACGTTCGTTGAGTAACCAATTTTGATTGTGTATGTCGTCGTAGGTGTGGACGTAGGCTCTGGTTAGAAAGAGCATAGAGGCGCAACGGGAATGGGTGTGAGTTTGAGTGGGGAACAAGATAAGATTGTCAAACACGTACCTCGAATTTTGACGGCGTAAACGTACCCCCGGTAATCCGAATCGAAAGGTGGTCTCGTCGCTTCCCGTGTGAGGCGTCTTCTCGTCTCACAATCCAACGTCGCAGGGAGCCATCCACTCAAAGCTGCCAAAAGTGGGTGATGCCATATACGGAAGCAAAATGATAAGCAAAAATCTTAAGCCGATAATCATATCATAGACCAGGGACTTCAGAAGGAAAGGGAGCGAGGTTGGTAGGTTGGTCGGGGATGGGGGCGTCGTGCGTCTTGGATAGGTACAAAAGGGACGCAAAAAAGGGACAAGGAGGGAAGGCAAGGAGGGAGGGAAGCGAAGAAGCACAGTACCTGGGCAATGCCGCAGGTGGCAGGCGGCAAGTGTCAAGGGTGGAACAGGGTAGGGATTGTGGCGGGGACAGGCGATATGTAAAACTGGACCTCATCCACGCACCATCAGACACAGCCTTGGCATGATTACATTCCGTTATCGTGAGATGTTCCGAACATTTCCTTATGAGGGTTTCTGGGGGCAAATACCCTTTTGCTCGTGCATGTTGGAAACAATGTAATGGCCATGGCAATAATGATGATGACGAAGGGATCTGAGCTTGTTCTACTTCCGTCTTGACGACTTTAGGATCGACAAGATCGGGAGAAGTACCGGTCTGTCGTCGGAGTTCAGAGCCGATATCTCCTTGATTTTCTATCTTATACGAGGAAGGATTGGCACCGGGAGGGGCGGGACCGCCCAAATTGAGACCAAGAGCATTTGATGAAGAAACCGGAGGTTGCGGAGACACGGGGTACTTGCCTGGGCACCGGCAAGGGTTGCCCAGTTTTGTTAATGCTGAACAAGGCACAAAAGCAAAAGCAACGGAACCAGATGACGATGACGATGAAGGGGGCGATCGCCTCAACACCTCATTTGAATCAAGATTGTTCTTCGTGGTCTCCTGCCCCTCAAGTACGTTCACATCAACAGGGTCAGTTGGAATAGCCTGACCAATAGAGGGAGATGATGCATTAGCGGCCCTATTAGAAGTAGACACGGGTGAGACGCGAGGCAAGTCATTCAGATTCACATTGTTGACTGTATTAGATGTCAATGTGATTGAGGCGTGGTCTTGTTCTTGTCCAACTACTGGTACCGGTAGTTCAAGGCGGTGAGAAGGCCGTTCCGGTTCTTTCCCTTTTGAGTTAGAGTGAATCGTACGACTCGGTGAAGAATAAATGGACGGAAGATTAGGGTATTCGGAGATGATTGAACCGGTTTCTTTTGTGATGGTATGATGGACAATATCCAAATGAAATGGTTTTTTCGATGGTTCTTCATTGCATACGGGTGAGGTGACTTTCACGAATATTACTGGCTTTGCCTGAGCGCTGGTCGTGATAGCGATCGTTGGTGAGCCGGATGCAGCACGGCCAGCACTGGTTTGGGAGACACTATGGGCGCCCGCGGCGAGAGCTTTTGCCCTCCGACGTGCTTCACGCAACGCATGGAACTGACGAAGGAACTCTGCTTCTGAGTGCTGCGCAGCGGCCTTGCGCTCGTCGTCGGAAAGGAGTGGCACAGTTTCCCGGCGGTCTAATGAGAATACATAGGAGGAAGGTATGTTGTGGTGCTGCTTCAGCATCGGCTTTCAACAAACGGTAATGCGGTAAATAATGAGATATTTTGATGCGGTATTTAGATGGAGGTAAGAGAGAGCTTTCTGAGCTGAGCAGCCGTAGCGGAGCCAGGGTCAACGAACAGGTTGTCAAAGTGATCGTGGGAGTGTGGGAGCAAGGGCTGCTGCGCTTCTACAGAGTCACACACAGGGTGTATAAATAACCAATGAGGTGTATCCCAACCTGAGGAAGAATGTTGGTGAGCGATAGACGCGGCCGGCAAGCGCGCGCGGACTGACCAAAACGAGCCAAATCACCGCGTCTGGAAAGAAAAAGCAAAGAAATTATATACATATCATGCGATGAGCGACTTTCCATAGCAGGCAGTGAACAGTAGTTCTCCCTTCGCATTAGGCAGGTTCGGTTCTGTTACCCAAAAGTGTTTGAATGCCATATTGGGGTTGTATTATCCAATCCAATCTCCCACTACATAAGTGCTGACTCCTTCGGGGCTGCGAGTCCCTTTCCCCTCCTCATCCGTCGCATCACTCTCCCGACGATCAGACGCGCCCGCGTCAACCGCGGGGCTGCAATCGCCCTCAACAAGGCACTGTCACCTTGAACATCGCCACTCTCCCGCGGCCTATTCTCCAAGCTAGTTCATCCTAACTAGTAGATTTGGATAGGAGTAGGCGTTCGTTCCTTGCGGACTTCTTTCTCCTGCTCGACCGTGACGGTGCGATTCGTTATCGCACCGGGGTAGCACAGGCACAACACGCCTATACAACTTGAAACATCCGAATCGAGTCTGAACCCCCATCCTAATTTAGGACGGGTTGGAACACAGACACCAATCCAACACAACAAACACACACAGCACACTACCAACTAGCAAGTTCTAGTCTCATATAGCGTACTTTAGTCTACGCTCATCTCCCGCATCCTGTTAGACCTGAGTTGGATTCAAAGTGAGTCCAACTGATCTCGGGGAATGAACTCTTCCCACTTCATTTATCACGTCCATGTTCGGGCAACCCCCATTTTTCGCAGGCTGGCCTCCCCTTCCCTCGTGTCCATCTAGCTATCATGCCGGGGCCTTACCCAAGAGCAGCTTCCCCATTTAGCGCCCGGTCGCGAGTAGCCACACCCACCCAATTCAACAACGCCACCTCCGCGTCTATTTCCATTAGCGCCGAGGAAGAGTACCCATTTGCATCTCATCTGGTCACATCCCCTGACTCTCCTCGCTCTTCTCTGTATGGTCACCCCCGCCAGTCGTCTCTGAGCAAGGAACGGCCACAATATAAGGGGAGCTACGTATCCGCTGAGGAACCTAACAGTACAGCCAGCGTCCTCAGAAAACAACAGCGAAATGCCCTTGTATCGAATCACCAGAAGTATGTCACATCGTCTTACTCCCATCCCTCATCATTAGCGCACTCCCGGAACTTCGCAGTAGCCTCGAACTGGGGGATCTCGTCATCACGGTCACTGGGGGGTGAACATCTCATGGATTACCCCTCCCGCTCCCATCGATCAATGTCCCCTTCCCCTTCCCGTCTCTCCATGCACAGCAATCGACCGGGTCGAGACCCTTCCTCGTATTACCCTACTCCACCTCACGACGTAATCCCGAATGATCGTGGCTTTGACACGTATTTACCGTCATTGCCTCTCCGTGCCACCGCCACGAGCGTCGCCCCACGGTCGTTCTCTGCTCCAAGTCGAGGAATTGTTGGTGGACGCCGTGGCATTGGTATCCGAGGGCCAAGTCACCTTAATAACAAATTTGTTGCTGTGGATAAGGGACGAAGTTATAGTTCAATGGATTATAATAACGTCCCTTTCGATGGCGGCGGCGGCGACATTGATTCGGACGAGTATGCAGAAGGGGATCCGTATGATTCAGATGAAGGTGTAGCGAGAAGAGCTCATCCCTTACCTACACCAAGCCCAGGACCCATAACGCGGTTTTCTCCAACGAGATCGTTGATGAATGATTTGGGGGTTGGTGCAGGGACACTCGCCCCCTCTTCACCCCCTGAACACGACGAGCAGCCTACCGCATCATACCTCACTGCTTCACCACTGATGGACACCGCCAACGAAGAGACGAATCAACAAACCACTTCACTTCTACAATCAAGACCACCTCCGAGTCGCGAACTCTCAAGAGGAACGCTTTTCCCTCGAACACCAGCCAACCGACCATTCCCACCAGGTCAATATCCCCGCGTCCCCGTTGCTCATCTTCCCGTGCCTCCATCACCATCGAGTACATCTCATAGTACTGATTCAGAACAAGGAATACGGGGGCCGATGTTCAATATGCCTGGATTAGACATTCGAGAGAAGGATGATCCGTTCAAGGAGATCATTCTTGAGGATGAAGATCAGCGTGGTAGACCAAAGCATGCCAGGAAGGGAGGACAGTCTTCTTCAAGGAAGAAGAAAGGAGGTAGTTATGATAAAGGGCTAAAATCGGAAAAGATAGGGGCCAATCGGGAAAAGAGTACGGTTAGACAAGGAAGGGTGTGGCACGAAGAAATTGTCGAGGCGGACTCGACTATGCCCAACACGCCCTTATCCACTATGACGAGAGCGAGAGCGGGGTTGTCGTTTGTCGGTGAAGACGGATCATACATACCGAGTCATCATGGGAAGAACAAGTCGCTGCGACTCGGAGCGGCTCCGTTTGGTCATGATGAGTATACGTAAGTCTGCTTTCCCCTCGGTTAGTTCATGTAGGTGTTGATTAGTTGTCCCGGGTGATCCCTCTAGCCCATCATGTACGGATGGTCTGCGGAGGTCATGGCAATCATTCAAGATCAGCCTGCGATTTGGTATGTTCCGGACAAGAAAGCGACTTAAGAAATCCGCGGGACTTTCTTGATCGCTAGTACCTCCATGATATGATTCCCCCCTATCCTCGCTTTACATTCCTCCGTTCCAATAGTGTTATCGTAAGTCTCAATCGTGCGCTTGCGCCGGTTGGTTCTTGGGGGCTTGTCCTTTCGTCTCTCCGTTCGTTGGTTGCCTGCCCCAGTCCTCTTCCCTCCCTGATTGTTTGTGCTTCGATTTCGATCCATCCATCTACCCCCCAACCCACTCTGATTCCACGAATTTACATTCCCCTCTTTCCCTGATTCACGTCTTCCTTCGCATATGTATCTCTCCCCCTGATATGATTACTCTCCTGTTCTCATCTTCCCTCCTCCAAAAAAGGACAATTCCCTTTCACCTTCTCATTCTCCCTTCATGAACTTGATGACTTTGTCCCGGAAACGACTTCTCTTTCTTGTTCCAATCACCTTCGGTTCTACCCCACTGTTTTGCCTTTCGTACATGTTAAAGGCCTTTTTTTGCTACCCTCATCTGTCTCTTTGTACCTTGTTCATTCTTTCCATGACATTTACCACCTTTCTTCCCTGGGATTGTTTCATTGTAACTTTTTCTTTCCCTTTTCATTCCAACCATAACCACCATCCACGCGCACACACATTACACACATACAGATACACAGCAGCATGGCAATGGCAGTGTTCGCTTGAACTTCCATCTTTCTTTCTATACACTTTTTCGACTTTCTTTCCCGTGTGCGATTTTTTTTTTACTTCCCCAATTTCCATTTTTCCCTCTCCGCCTTCTTCATCCCCACAACCTGACGCACTGACTTTTTTCTTATGACGAGCAGCGCGATGTGTATCATACGTGTTGTAGCATACCCCCCAACTCTTGTTTCTCGTGTTTCACTTTCATTCCTCCTCGTTCTTTGTCCTTTTCCCCCATTTGGTGCTCCATGCGTGTTTAGTTGAGTCTGGATTTTGAACGACTTGCTGTACGTTCAAACAATACTATGGTACTTTTTGAGGAGGTCATGAATTGCAAGGGAAAGGCGTGGCATTCGTGGGGAGTCCGGAAGTTGAGCCGGTGTGATATGCATGAGCCTTTGGATAAGGCGTGAGGCAGGTTCATGTTTCAAATTCCCAGCCTTTCTATGTGGATGTCAACTCTTTCCACCGCTTTGCCGATAAGAACGGAGTGAAATCCCGGCCGGGCTCACACCGGACCCAACCCTCTGAGATATATATTCTTCAACTAGATCCTCAAAGAAACACTCATTAAGGTACGGCGTGTCTGGAATAATGAATCTACACTAGAAAGGTTGCTTCGCAACCATGACCTTGCTTGTGGATCATGTGAACATTTCACAGGTTGCAACGGAGGTCGCAACATTTACTCATGTCAGTTCAAGAAAATTAGCAATACTAGCAAACGAACATATGGGTTGAATCGAAGATCAGGGATGGGATGCGGAACTATCAAGCGAACATCGTGAATTGAATATAAAAAGGCTCTTCTTGTGAACATATGTGACCCTTTTGAGTTGAATTGTGAATGAGTTTGTTCACGCAATGCCATAAGATGCTAGGTCTGGGGCAGAGTAGGCAAATACTGAGTGGTTCCCTTCGTTGGTGGGGTTGAGACAGACATACCTATTTCTCAAGCTTCCGTCGCTTCGTGGGAGAGAAGGATGGTCCGGAGAACAGCCGCTTAGATGGCGATCCAGAATCTGTACAATTACTGACAAGAGTGGCTGGTTTTTTGAGGATTATTATCTCTTCAACATGTGCGGAGAAAGTTGTTTTCTTCCCAGTGCAAGATCCTATCAAGTGGCACGCAAGTGTAAAGGGCATTTGTACAGTGGCCCCTTGTAGGGAATGGATGTGTGGTGATGCGTGCTGTGCACGCTTTCTTTATTCATTGTTTATTACTCTTTATTTCTCGATGTAAACAATGTATATAAATTGCGGGGAAGGGTGAAACAGGTTTTCACTCTTCTCCTCCCCTGTCGAAATTACAGCTCTATACTGCCTAATTCCTGACAGCTTGAGGATAGCAGGAGTCAACACCAAGGTCGGAACCTCAACCGACCTTACACCCCTGGAAGTGCAGTTGCATGCTCCGAAGGAGCAATAACTCCTTCAATTCCTTCACGATATGCGCGAAGAGGATTCGTCTGCCATCTTTTCTCCTCAAACATCTTGTCTTGGAGGTCAATATTTCTGGCACCACTGGCCAGTGTTCCAAACCAAACTCGGGCCCCAAGAAGCCATGGACTGTTGGCACCATCATCAGCTTATGCACAGGATGTAGGTGATGATGAGGGAACAAACCCGATTCACCTTTGCTGCTATCATCATATCCACCCAATTCCGGTAATGCTGCACATAAACTGAACGAATTATCACGATAGTTGGTGGGAAACTTCCTACTTTTGGCTTTGTTTTCTGGTGTGCTGGGCTCTGTTGGTGGTGTCATACACTCCATCTGTAGCGTGACTGACTCAAGGTTTGGTGGTTCACCCAAAGCGCTCACCATTTCGCTGCAGGAAAGGCTCTCTGTTCTCGGTGTTGAGCTGTGCATTGTGCAGAGTGTGTGTTAGATGCTTACTACGTGAATCATCTAATGGTGTTAACAGCAAGGCAGTCCTTGAAGGCACAAGACTCCCTGATATCATTCATTTCGCCATCGGTGCAAAGGTTATGGTGACGTCAAACATAAACATGGATATGAATATTGCCAATGGTACTTGTGGCGAGGTTGTGGAAATAATCCCTGATCCGAGTAGGGAGGAGGATGTGAGCGTAAAAAAGTGAAAGGTTGTCTTACTAGTTTGGGGATGGTAATGTTCCGTTCCCCCGTTCGCCTCAGGCCTCAGTAATCCGTCTAAGTATACGCTTGATTTGGCTGTATATTGACGGGGTAGAAGTAAAGGCGGATTAGCCTTTACTTCTACCCCGTCAATATACAGCCAAATCAAGCGTATACTTAGACGGATTACTGAGGCCTGAGGCGAACGGGGGAACGGAACATTACCATCCCCAAACTAGTAAGACAACCTTTCACTTTTTTACGCTTGTATTCTCTTTCCATTCTCGGCACCGCGTTACCGGCGCCGAAACCCCATTTGGCAACGCGCGCGTCGTCGGCCCCTGACAACGCGCGACTTCGATCAAGTTCTCACGCGAACTTGTTGAACAACTCGACACCTCTTCTGGATGTCGTGGAGATACAACACCAGGAGCACGTCCAACGCTCCCGCCAACACGGCCGGCCCCTCCACTAGCCGTAGGGCGGAAGACGACACCACCTCAAGTGATGGTGGCGATCTGGGCCTGCAAGGGCCCAGGGACGCGTCTCAGACGCGTCCCACCTATATGAGAGACGTTGACGAAGTCACAACGTCTGAAGCCCTCGCAGCGGAGACTCTCGCGGCATTCGTCCCAATGCGCGCGTCGCGTCCTCCATCCCCAACCCACTCCCTCGCGTCTGAAACGGTGCGAGTACTAAGAAATCGCGTCGACCAAGTCGACGACGACATCGCCGACTTGAGAGGCGATGTCCGTAACATGAATACCCAGATCTCTGGGAATAGCGACAACATCGCTCGTCTAGATCGTAACATCATTAAGGTGGAGGAAAGACTTAATGAGAAACTTAACGAAATTCTCCTCGCGCTCTCTCGACGCGACGAGCCAAAGCCACCCGCAGCAACGGTGGATAACCCATCTGCAAACCCTCCAGTGAACCCAACAACGGGTGGAAACCCCATCGTCGTCTCTGACCAGACGAAAAAAACCGCTGTTGAGGCGCAAGCGCCCCAAGAGGTCCCTGTAGTCCCCATTAATCAAACGGGTCAACAAATCACTAAACCCGCTGTGGAGGCGCAAGCGCCCCAGGAGGTCCCTGTAGTTCCCGTTAATCCAACGGGTCAACCAATCAGTGGGGTCCCCATACCTGGAGGGATCCCCACTGTCTCTGCCGTCGTCACAGAGGCGACAAGTTCACGCGCGTCTGTCGAGGTACAAGAATCTGACGGACGTTTTGTTCCTATCTTTAGTGGAACTAAGCCACCTACCCCGTCGATGGCGCCAGTAACCACTGACGCCAAAGGAAAGGGTAGGGAGATCGACCCAGGACAACTGGCTGGACCATCGATTACAGGGGAGAGTGGAACTTCTCCATCCCATTTCAGGCCAGGCTTCGTGCCCGCACCGTTCATTCTGTCGTCCCAACCCACGAACAGTGGGGTGAAGATACCAAGCGTTGACGCTACTCAAACGTGTAATTTCCCTCCCGACCACGGGAGAAAGAAAGCAGTGCCGATGAAGGCCACTGTGGAGACGATACAAGAGGAAGACGGTGACGCGGAAGCCACCAGTGTTCCGTACGATTACTACGCACGGAAAAAACGCCCGATCTACGTCCAGGATCGTGTAGATGACATTGGCGGACAGCCCGCCAAGGTCAGACCTATCTTCGCTAAGCGTAGTCTCAGCGAATCTACCTTTGACTTTAACGCCCGTCTGGATGCAGACGCAGCATTCGTATACAACGTGGGTCGTGGGGCAAACGGTGAAGACCCCGAAAGACTGTCCCACGGCACAGCACTCAGACGAGTGCTGGATAACTACCACCGATTCTCACAACCGCCTGCGGCTCCAGAAGGGGGCAAGAGGCGTGTAGACCAAGTTAGGTCTAACTCGGGAAGAAGACCCCGCCGTCCGAGTGGCGATGGTGATGACGAGGATGGTGGCGAGGGTGGCTCGTCCTGGCCCAACCCACCATTTCCTGACCTATTTGGCACCGAAGCAAAACGGGAGCCTTCATCCAACTTTCCAAACCGCTCGTCTGTACGACCCGGTTTGTTTGACTCAACCATGCGTTCATACGCAGCACCGGCGGCACGAGTAGTGCCTGATCCATCTGAGTTCATGACTCAGCTTCTTGAATCTGCACGCCGAAGTGTGGAGGTCCGAATCCTGCAGCCACTGCCTGCAGATGTACGCCCAGAACTGCTCAAGAAGATGCAGGGACTGACTCCGACCATCAAATGGTCTGGAGAGAATAACTCGAAGATATTCCACAACTGGCTGCACTCCTGGCTAGCCTATATGTCGTCGTGTGGGTGGAAGGGTGAAGCTTACAATGAGTTTCACGTCCACACTTTGACAACCGCCGTTGAAGGCGAGGCACAAGACCTCCTGATGCACTATATACGCATTGGAGTGCAGAATGGGGTAACCCCCCCATTCTGGGATCTACTAGAGATCCTTATCTGCACCTTCATCAAGAAGTCTGCAGCAGTAGCATCCACGAAAGCGTTCAAAACGCTTTCATACGATTCCGCGAAAGGAATCAAACACTTCTATAACCAGCTGTATCGTGCAGCTGGGGAGATGATCACGCCTCCTGACCAGGCAACGTTCAATGAACGTTTCCTGAACGCCATCCCTGGCGAAATGCGTCGGGAGATGGTTATGCGCCACGACATTTCCGTGGACTACACAACGAAAGACGAGTTGTGGACCGCCGTGCTCCGCCTGGACCACGCATACGATTCAATTAAGGCGATCTCTGCGTATCGTAACGACTCGCAAGCGCCAGCCGCGTCAAAAACGATGCAAAAACAAGCCAACGCCGCAGCAGCACCCAAAAAAGCTGCTGATTCTTCGTCCGCCAAGAAAGTGTACAAAAACACATTCGGGGGAAACACGTCAGCTCTAAAGAGCGGACAACGCCCAACCTTCCGTGCGAGCTATTCGCCGGCTCCAAAAACAGAGAAATCGACGTCGTCTACAGCGACGAAATCGACGCCATCCTTGGATAAGGATGGGAAACCGCGTTGTTTTAAATGCGGGAAAATAGGCTATCAACGTGATTGCCCAAATCACGACAAGCCCAAACCGCGCATGTACAACATAGCGGTCGAGTCTGACGAACGAGACCTACAGGACTCGGAGCCTGTAGAAGAACCGGAAGGTGGTGAAGATCCTGCAGAGGTGCAGGACTATATGGCCGACGATGAGTCGTTCGACGATAAACTCGTGGACGACCCATACGATCCCAACCTCCTCGCTGAGGCGGAGGAGGAGTACGTAGAAGTGGACGCCGACATGTTCGTCGGTGCTATGACGTTCGTGGATCCCACGGACGAAAACTTCTCCATTAAATTAGCGTCTGCTCGGCAAGCAGACAAACTGCCATCTGATGAGCAGATAGTAGCTGAGCTTGTCGACGACGCAGTAAAGACCTACAAAAGGGACAGTGTTATACCGGTCCCAAAATCTTCATCGGGGAAACCGTCAACGCAAAGTGTGACGAGTTCTTCAGTGCCTAACAAGCTTCTGAAGAAAATCCCGCCAATATTCGACGCGAAGTTTAGAATCTCACGAGAGGCGGGTAAATACCCTGAAAACCGCAGCGCCGACTTAAGGCGGACGCTCACCGGCGAGGTTAACATCGCCGGGGTAAACGCCTTTGTCCTATTTGATAGTGGTGCTGAAACAGACGCCCTATCTCCAGATTTTGTCCGAGCAGTTCACATTCCACTGCTCGAGTTGCCAAACCCCTTGGTTCTCCAGATGGGGACCAAAAACAGTCGTTCGTGCATAATGTACGGCACGAATACTCCCGTAACCATTCACGGGGTTACGTCTACTCACTATTTTGACGTCGTCAACATTGACCGCTACGACGCCATTCTCGGGGCTCCGTGGCTGAATGCCAACGGAGCGTCCCTCAATTTCGAAACTCACACCGTCCACATAAAGACGGGCGACATCAAAACGTTTGATGTCCTGACGGAACGGGGTAAAACCTCAGTGGGGGCTGCTGCACGCGGTCGCCCCAAACTTCCCCGTGCACCGAGATCCGAACTGTCATCTAAACAGACGGCATGACGCAATACGGCGAAGGCTGGAAACCCTTCGCCACGCATCCTTGCCATCTCCGCTCAAAAAGACGCAGATACCTCCCAGTGGCCCAATCACTGGCCAAGCCCGAGGTCGAAAGATCTCAGGCTTCCCGACTGTTCCCACTTAGAAGGTCTGCCAATGACAGACCCTGAATTCGTGCCACTCAGGAATTGGTGGCGTGAACGTTTCAAAGACGTCATGGCGCCAGCCCCTGAGGTCCTACCTCCGTTCAGGGAGGTTAACCACCGGATCAACTTGATTGATCCGAATAAAAAATATATAGAAAGAAGGGCTACGTGCCCTCAGGCTCTCGAACCGCAGCTTCGAGAAAAGATCGCTCGTTATGAGCGAGCCCAATGGTGGGAACGCAAGGCGGTCGCAACGGCGGCTCCACTTCTTTGTCTTGCAAAGAAGGACGGTTCTTTACGGACTGTAATCGATGCGAGAAATCGCAATGCGAACTCCATTCTCGATGTCACGCCCATGCCTGACATGCGTTTCATCATGGATAGTATGGCTCGGGTAACTTATCGATCAAAGATCGATATGACAGACGCGTACGAACAGATTCGTATCGAACTGGACTGCGTACAATACACGGGGATGAGTACCCCGTAGGTACTTTCATATCGAACGTGCTGCAACAAGGGGACTGTAACGGCCCTT